AAAACAAGTGTCACTCCATTTATTTATGGCTGTCTGTTGAACACTGGGGCTTCCCAGGTGGTGCTAGTGGCAAAGTACCCACCTGCTGATGCAGGAGATGTGGGTTCGATCTCTGGGTCAGGAAGAACCCCTGGAGGAGGACATAGCAACCCACTCCAGTATTCCTGCCTGGAGAATTCCATGGACAGAGGAGACTGCCGGGCTCCAGTCCATGGAGTCGCAAAGAGTAGGTGAGGATGGAAGCAGCTGAGCACACTGAACATTCGCCGTAGACCAGGCCCCGTGCCGGGCCTGGGGCCTGGGTAGGGTGATGCTCAAGACCCGGGTCCTCACTCTGGCCAGGGAGGGACGCACAGGCCATCAAGGCTTGCTGGGCCGTGTTCGACTGTGCCATGATGGGGTAAGCACAGGGTACCCGGGAACCTGACCAGGGAGGACTGAGAAGGCTCCTGCAGGAAACAGAGTATGAGCTAAGAGCTGAGGTGGGGCTTATGCAGGAATTGAGGATGTGCAAAGCCCTACAAGCAAGAGGCAGCAGGGTGCATTAAGGGAATGGAGGGTGGGGCTGGGAGGGTGTTAGGGAAGCATTGGGGGAGGGGAGGTTTGGTGAGACAAGAAGCTGAAGACGGAAACAGGAGCCACGTGATAAAGGGCCTTGCAGCCACTTAAGGGGCCTGAGTCTAATCTTGAGGATAATCGGGACGTGTTGAAAGTCTTTAAGCACCCCAGGGTTTAAATCTAGGATGATGCGAAGATCTTCAATCTAGACCCCTTTGCTATTGAAGTCCTCGCTCCACATCACCTCAAACATCATCAAATGAATTCACATTATAATTATTTTTTTAATAAAAATGTAGAAAGGAGTTTTATTACTTAAATTTGGAATTTTTATTAATTTCAATTTTGTAGACCTCTACTTCTATTTTGAAGCCAGTGACATTTTGGGGGGATGGGGGCAGACAGGTCCTTATACAGCTCAGAGACCTCATGCACAGTGTTATGGTATCTAATTGATCTCAGGTGGCCTCGGCCTGCAGCAGCTTGAAGCAAGGCTTCAGCTCCTGGCCAGAGATTGAAGTCAGGCCACAGCGATGAAAGCACCAAATTCTAACCACTAAACTAGTGGTCAGTGACAAGGCCCTGGTTCTTCAGCTTTGCAGAAAAGAACTCCTTCAAAGATGGAAAGTAGTGAAACAAGTGTTTATTAGGAGTATAGTACATATGTGTAGACACGTGGACAGACTTAGAGAGACAGAGTCACTGAGGCGCACCCTTGTGGTAGTTTGAATTACTTTTATGGGGCATTTCTTCCAAGTTTCCTTTGGCCAATCATTTTGGTTTGCCTGGTTCAGAGTCCATATTTAGTATATCTCAGGATCCTCCCAACCAGGGATCAAAGCTATGCCCCCTGCAGTGAAGGCGCAGCCTCTTAATCACTGGACCATCAGGGAAATCCTGACTTGTGTTCTTTTAAAAACACAAGCACTCCAGGAAAAAATAACACATTCAGTTACAACATCTCTCTGCCTGACTGATCAGATCCCTTGGCCTTAGGCAGAGGTTCCTGGGGCCTCAGGGCTCTCAGGATAGCAGAGCCCACCCCCATCTCTCAACCCCTTCCCCACACTATTGCCCAACTACATGATTGTAGACATATAAAGCAGTGAAGGCTGAGAAGAAAAAGTGCTAACTGCCCCAATCCCAGTAGCACAGTCTGATGATCTCTTCCCTCTCTGCCTCCCAGAAAGGCATCAGGACATGTAATCTGAGGCCTCCATGATGGTGATACACTCAGACTAAGTGGAGGATGAACACTATTCTAGTTCCTAATTACGATGGTTGCTAAGAGAAGTTGTCGTTTTCAAGACTCCATGGGCAAGTAGGAAGCTTGATTTGTGCCGCTCCAGAAGGCTACTGATACTCCACAATAATTTTCCCATTTGTGTTTGATTCCCCAACATCAACAATTCATTTCTATGGGCTAACCCTCGCTGGTGCAGGGTGGCAGGAAGGCTGCCTAAAAAAAAATGTGTCTTTAGAAGGTGACTCGTGCCTCATCACTATGTTGTTGTGAGTTCATTGAATCTCTTTTGTCTGCATCTAGAGGGTCTAGGCTTCAGCAATATGTGAACCGAGAACTTCCAGATGTTCAAGCTGGTTTTAGAAAAGGCAGAGGAACCAGAGATCAAATTGCCAATATCTGCTGGATCATCGAAAAAGCAAGAGAGTTCCAGAAAAACATCTATTTCTGCTTTATTGACTACGCCAAAGCCTTCGACTGTGTGGATCACAATAAACTGTGGAAAATTCTGAAGGAGATGGGAATACCAGACCATCTGACCTGCCTCTTGAGAAACCTGTATGCAGGTCAGGAAGCAACAGTTAGAACTGGACATGGAACAACAGACTGGTTCCAAATAGGAAAAGGAGTACGTCAAGGCTGTATATTGTCACCCTGCTTATTTAACTTATATGCAGAGTACATCATGAGAAACGCTGGGCTGGAAGAAGCACAAGCTGGAATCAAGATTGCCGGGAGAAATATCAATAACCTCAGATATGCAGATGACACCACCCTTATGGCAGAAAGTGAAGAGGAACTAAAAAGCCTCTTGATGAAAGTGAAAGAGGAGAGTGAAAAAGTTGGCTTAAAGCTTAACATTCAGAAAACTAAGATCATGGCATCTGGTCCCATCACCTCATGGGAAATAGATGGGGAGACAGTGGAAACAGTGTCAGACTTTATTTTTTTGGGCTCCAAAATCACTGCAGATGGTGACTGCAGCCATGAAATTAAAAGATGCTTACTCTTTGGAAGGAAAGTTATGACCAACTTAGATAGCATATTAAAAAGCAGAGACATTACTTTGCCAACAAAGGTCCGTCTGGTCAAGGCTATGGTTTTTCCAGTGGTCATATATGGATGTGAGAGTTGGACTGTGAGGAAAGCTGAGTGCCAAAAAATTGATGCTTTTGAACTGTGGTGTTGAAGAAGACTCTTGAAAGTCCCTTGGACTGCAAGGAGATCCAACCAGTCCATCCTGAAGGAGATCAGTCCTGGGTGTTCATTGGAAGGACTAATGCTGAAGCTGAAACTCCGGCCACCTCATGTGAAGAGTTGACTCATTGGAAAAGACCCTGATGCTGGGAGGGATTGGGGGCAGGAGGAGAAGGGGATGACAGAGGATGAGATGGCTGGATAGCATCACCGACTCGATGGGCATGAGTTTGAGTAAACTCCGGGAGTTTGTGATGGACAGGGAGGCCTGGTGTGCTGCGATTCATGGGGTCGCAAAGAGTCGGACACGACTGAGCGACTGAACTGAACTGAGAGGGTCTAGGTAGGAATAAGACCATTGCTGCATGCAACGTGGAGCTCCTTGGAGGGGAGAAGGGCATAGGAAGGGGAGATGAGCCTCCTCAAAGACCCACTTCAGGTTTTAGCCCAGGAATGGCACTCACCTTCACTGTTGTCAGAGGCATGAACCCACTTCCAGCAGGCAGCAGGGCATGCCTGAGATGGCAGTCCATTCACTCAAGCATGTGTTCATCCATCATTCACTTATCCATCCATCTAGTCATTCAGTCATTAATCAGACCTGTACTGAGCAAGACCCTGTGGGAATATGATGATGAGTTAGGATCCCTGTCACACATCTCACCTTGTACAGTGGCAGGATTCTCTACCTGGGATATCTGCTCCATCAGTCCGTGTGTCTGAAGGCTCTACTCACCCTTCAGCATTGTCTCATCCACAAAGCTTTCCAAAACCCCTTCATCATCCAGAACCACTCCTTCCCCGTCCCGACCCCAGCAATACTGACTTCATGCTTCACCAGCCACATTTACCTCTTTCCACTTAAATTATGACTTTTACTCATCAAGTCTTATATCTGCTGGAGGGCAGGGTCCAGACACGCTATTATGCTTGTGTTCCTCTGCAGATGTGTACACTGTGCTTGATTATGCTTCTGCCTGATGAATGAATGAATAAATGAATGAATGGTAGGTAAGTTGTATCATTTACAGGACAATATCAGTCCCATACAATCTTCAGCTTTTTTCAGCAACAGATTGGGGGCATTTCCTGTTATGAAAACATCTGTTCTGAATGTGTGTTTATTTCCCCCTAAACCATAGGGATAAGATTATGCTCAGCCATACAGTATTGTTAAAAGGTAAACTGAGGCATATTAAAAATTTTTAAGAGTTTATTTGAGCAAAAAAAAACATCTGTTCTGAATGTGTTTTTATTTCCCCCTAAACCATAGGGATAAGATTATGCTCAGCCATACAGTATTGTTAAAAGGTAAACTGAGGCATATTAAAAATTTTTAAGAGTTTATTTGAGCAAAAAAAATCTATTCAAATCTAGCAAATATTAAGGAGCTTTGAGGAATTATACCAAATGAAAGACTTTTATAGTCAGAAACGGAGTGGGAACAAAGATGTTACAGAAAGAAAAAAAAAGCAAACTGATTGCTGCAAAGTTTTTATCCTTTAAGGGCTGGCAGAGGGCTACCAGGCAGATTACTTAACTAGTGCTGATCAGGTGATTCCTGTGAGAGGTGAAACTAATTGAGTCTTGGTTTGGTGATGTGGGGCTTAGCATCAGGACTCCATTTGGGGCCTGTGGCCTTATTTTTAACAGTATGTTTCCATCTTTGTTTGGAGTTACCAAGGATCTGGAGGTTCAATCATCTGGAGGCTTTAGAGACTTTTATGACCATGAGATTATCTTACTTTTATGCGGTGCTTGCAGCTTCCCAAGTTTATTCACAACTGCTTCTCACAACACCACGACTTTGTCTTACAGTCTTAGAAACGATTGCTCAGAGAGGTTAAGCGCTGTACCGGAGGCCGCCCAGCTGTGAAGGGGGAGGTCTTCTCACTCGGGCCTCAGCTCCCAACCCCACTCCCCATCACCCCGTTTTCCCCACCTTGGCTGACAAGAGGGGCTGAGGAAGACGCACTCCTGCCTGCCCGGCAGGGCCTGGGGGGCCATGTCCCTGCTCCCGTGGCTCCGGGCGAACGAGGGGCCGCCACGGCCGTCCCCGAGGAGTCCGGCGGAGATGGTGCTGGAGACGCTCATGGTGGAGCTGGCGGGGCAGATGCGCGAGGCTGAGCGGCAGCAGCGGGAGCGCAGCCACGCGGTGAGGAAGGTCTGCACCCGCGTGGACTACAGCTGGCTGGCCAGCGCGCCGCGGCCCACCTACGACCTCAGCCCCGGCGAGAGGCTGCAGCTGGAGGACGTCTGCGCCAAGATCCACCCGGCCTACTGTGGGCCCGCCATCCTCAGGTAACTCCAGACAGCCTCAGGTAACTCAGGTAACTCCCCACCATCCTCAAGTAACTCAGGTAACTCCCCACCATCCTAAGGTAACTCCCTGCCATCCTCAGGTATTCAGACATCCTCAGGTAACTCCTCTCCAGGCACCAGGCAGGGGCCCTCCCAGGCTCCGGGGGCGCGGGGGCAGCGGTAGGAGCTGGAGCCCGTGGCCTGGAGCCCCAGTGACTAATAATCTCCCGGGACTGGAGGCCGGGACCTGGATGAACCAGGGATCGGTTAGAAGGAGCGAGGCAGGAAGAAGAAGAGGCCATGGGTCGCCAGGTCAGGGCTAGAGGCTGAGGGAGGCAGGAAGCAGCTCCCAGAGGCACCCGAGCTTTTGGGGTTTTGTTTTTCAGAAAAAAACCCACGTTTATTTGCAATAGAAACCACGGTCTGGAAAAAAAAAAAAAAA